GCAAATAAAGTTATTAATAATGGCAAACAATAAAACCGCACATTGGAAAGATTTACTGCGGAAAAGAGTAGACTCTGCGAAACAAGGCAAGATGATGAATGTTAGCTAATCAGGAATTATAGAGATTTTTAACAAGATCAAGGAGCGATTTTTTTAAATAACAAAATGTGTAAATTTTTATTTACCAATCAACTGGTATAATCACGCTAGAAAGCATTTAAAAAAGTCGCTTAAGAAAATACCGTGGTTTTACTATAGTAACACTAACTGTGGTAAACATTACATTTAGTGGAAATGTTGTAGATTTAGACTATACTAAATATTTTATATTAGGGAACTAAGAGATTAGGGATTAGTTACAACAAATATTATAGTTTGTTGTATAGAAACCATAGTAACCCTACCCATTGTGTGTAACCTTAGTTCCTGTTATACAAAGTCTGATGAAAAATGAATATGATTGTGCTGTAAATTATAGAAGTACTTCTAAAAGGTATACCAGACTTAAACAAGTATCCTGGTCAAGTTTAGACAGTTAAGCTTGACTTTATAAATTATGTATTTATTTAATTGTAATGTGATAAATGAAAACTTGGCTAATATGATTTCCATATGTAAAATCGTAGTAAAACATTTGAAGCGTTACTTAAACGCTTAGTGGTTTATCTAATATATTAAGACCGTAAATAATGGAGACATGAAAAAGTATTGCATACAGTAGGAATGATAATGAGGAGCCATCCATGGTTTTGCTAATGATTACTTAGATTTTACTATGAATAGTAAAATATGGAGGAGGTGTGAATAATCATAATGTGTGTTGAAATCTTTCTTTGTATTGAACAGATGGCAGAACAGAGGAGGAGAAGAAAGCAGAGGAAACAGAATTGTTCACCAAGTATTATAGCGAAAAAGGAGAAGATGACTCATTTAAACACATCCCACGCTTCTACTACAGGGTGAGCTGATCATGCTCTAATCAGTAAAGAGAACACACATTTATTTGATCAAAAATATAGTAAAAAATTAATATTGTGAAATATTACAATTAAAAAGAAAACTATTTTCTATCTTAAAATGTAATTTATTCCTGTGATGAAAGATACATTTCAGTTATTATGATATCGCTGGAATCACTTTCAGAACAATTTTTTCCAGCTGATGAACGATAAAAATATTGACAGCCAATCAGATTCAATCCTGCTGTCACGAGCTTGAGAATTTAAAGTGGCAAACAAGCATGCGCTTAGAATAAACAGACGATATCGTTCGCTGGTGTGGACGCTAATATCGTTATCTTTATAGTTATATTTATAGTTATCGTTCTTGGTGTGAACGGGCCTTAAGGCTGTGTTGTTTAACGTAAAGACTTTCTTTCTACAGGATTTGGAGAACTACATTCTAGAGTTAATTCCCACACTCCCCCAACTAGATGGCCTGGAGAAATCTTTCTACTCGTTTTATGTTTGCGCTGCCGTTCGCAAGTTCTTCTTCTTCCTTGATCCTCTACATACTGGTAATTCTCCTGTGGTTGTGCTGTTACAATTTGCCTTTTAATTTACGTCAGAGCACCTGCAGACATTATTTCGATTTTACCCTGTGGAAAAACTGGAATGAAAAGAATCATTCTAATGTTTTGTACTTGCTCTGCAGGGAAGATAAAAATTCAGGACATTCTGGCTTGCAGTTTCTTGGGTGACCTACTTGAGGTAGCGTATAGATTCTCAGTCAAGTGAATCTTTATTACTAATATAAAAATATCTATATACGCTACCTTTAAAAAGTTTTTAAAGATCCTTCAGAAATCATTCTGCTCATTTGCTGCTCAATAAATATGTATCATTATCAATGTTGCTTAATATTTTTGTGAACATTTTGATATATTTTGGATTAATAGAATGTTCAAGAGAACAGCATTTGGGACATTGTGCAAATCGGATTTATTAATTTATAGCTTTGAGACGAGGAGCTGTCCAAAGAGAGTCAGGAGTCTAACTGGTTCTCTGCACCTTCTGCTCTTCGAGTTTATGGTATGCCTGCAAAACGCACTTAATCAGTGTTATATAAGTTAAATCTCATGTGTTAATCATCATATGTCCTGTTTACAGGTCAGTACCTCAACTTGGATAAGGACCATAATGGGATGCTCAGTAAGGAAGAGCTGTCTCGATATGGCACAGGAACTCTAACTAGTGTTTTTCTAGACCGTGTCTACCAGGAATGCTTAACCTATGATGGTGAAATGAATGAATGAATGAATGAATGAAATGGTGTAAAACCCTCTGTCTTAATTAATAATTTGCATTAGACTGAGATTTAGATGAGAGAAAATCCCTTAAATGTTGTCTGCTGTCCAAACGATAGCTTTGTGGGCAGGGAGACCTGAGTTCAAGTCCTGTTTCCAGATATACATGTACACTACTCTTCAAATTTGGAAAAGTCTTTTCAAAGTCTCTTATGCTCACCAAGGCTGCATTTATTTGATTAGAAATACAGTAAAAATCGTAAAATAATATTACAATTTAATATATTTAATATGTTTTAATATTTTAACTGTTTAATAGTTTGATATTTTAACTGTTTTCATATTTTAAAATGTTATCAATTCCAGTGATGGGAAAGCTGAATTTCCGGCAGCCTTGATTTGGTCATCAAGAAACATTTCTTATTATCAGTGTTGAAAACAGTTGTGCTGCTTAATATTTTTTTTGGAAACTATTATTAATTTCTTTTTAAAAATCTTACTTAAATTTTAAGCCTTTGTATACTTTTGACTTTCAACATAAAACTAATTGAATGTTGTGATGTTACTCTGGAAAAAGACTTCACTTGAATACATCCAAGCAGACATTTGCCACTGAAAATAGGCATATAATATTCTTATATGCATGGAATTTCAGTATCTAAAAACATAACCATGCAATTTGTAATGGGTTTTTTAACACCCCCATTTAGGACTATAAGACCTATCTAGACTTTGTGCTGGCTCTAGAGAACAGGAAAGAGCCTGCGGCCCTCCAGTATATATTCAAACTATTGGACATGGGAAAAAAGGCTGTCTCAGTATATTTGCCCTCAACTACTTCTTCAGGGTAAAGAAACATTTTTGAAGTCAAGCAAAAATACATGTTTGCTTTTTATAAATATGTACTATATTTTATATATTTACACTAAGCAGAAACTAACCTATTCATCTGTGATATCAGGCCATTCAGGAACAAATGAAAATCCATGGCCAGGAGCCAGTTTCCTTCCAGGATGTTAAGGTAAACGGCCTTTATATAGTAATAAAGCAATCTATTAACATGTAGGGAAGTGGGTGTTTTGGGTCATAAAATGGTGATCAAAATTTTATGTCTACAGGATGACATTTTTGATATGGTGAAGCCTAAAGATCCGTATAAGATCACACTACAGGACCTGGTGAACAGCGGTCAGGGTGATACCGTCACTAGCATCCTCATCGACCTCAATGGCTTCTGGACTTACGAGAACAGAGAGGTGCTGGTGGCTAATGACACTGACAGCAACACAGCTGATTTAGATGACACGTGACATCACATTGTTGCCAAATCAAAACTTCAGCCAAGAGGAATACACAGAATAGCTCATTTGTATATTGAACTGTTTATTAAGTAATATGTACAAAACAAACTGTATTTTTTCACCTACATTATAGAAAGGAAGGTGTGTTTTCACCTACATAATACAAAACTATTGTACACAAACACTCTTCAAAATGAAATGCTCTTTTCTGTGCATGTCAGAGGGGTGGACAAATTGAACTTAAATCTCATGGGTAAAGCACACATTTACATGCACACCAAAAATGTGTTCACGTAAAAATAATATTTGGTTACAAAAATAACTTCTTGAATGTTGTCAGCTCTGAAAGCGCTGACTTAAGAGGGAATATTCCCATCTGACAGTTTACTCTATTTTTGACAACTCCTAGCATCACCAGTAACATAGAAATGTCTAATATTGTCTCTAAGTTTTATAATTTTACAGCATTGTAAAAGATTGGTAATCCATGCAGTTGTTGTAGTGTTTAGCTTAGGCTTTTTAGGTGTTTATAATTATTAAAATGTACAATGAATTGTTGTAGTGATTATTTCCACCACAGAATAAAAAATATGTACATTTTCTGAAGAAAATGTGAGTGGTGCTTAACGTGGCAAGACTTGGGCAGTTACTGCATCTTTTTATAGTTTTTTAATTAGCTAGAATTTTTATAATGTTTTAACACATGACTAATCGCTATTAGCATTTAGCTATTCACTGTTGGCATGTGTAGCATGTTGGAAGTCCTGCTTGCTAACATGAGTCAAAAGAGCCAAGTCCCATGTCTACACAATGTTCTGATGCAGAGATATAGGTCTTGCTAAACGGTTGCTAGGGCACTCTGCTTGGTTGCTAATCGTGACTTTTTATCTTTAAAATTCAGACTTTTTTTCTCAGAATTGCGAGTTTATATCTTCCAGTTGTGAGGTTTTCTTTTTCTTTACATTTAGGTTAGGTGTCTATAAACTGTCTAAAAAAACATAACTGCAAGATGTAAACTCAAAAGTCAGAGAAAAAGTCAGAATTGTAAGGTAAATTCGCAATTACTTTTTTATTATATATTTTTATTCCATGCTAGTTTTATGTATGGCTTGTGAAATGATTAATAAAACAGTTCTGCATTAAAAGCAGAATCATTGTCAGCTATGCATAAACAACGTTACCTTCATGTTTAACGTCATGTAAACTTCTCCTCCAATAAAGAAACCTAGCACACCTCATGTCTAAGGTTAATATGGTAAAAAGCATCTAATATGCTCAATCAACTAAACAGTATTTTAGGAGGAAATGGGGGCAGGCACTTTATTAGCATCAGATGTAGCATGTGATTCCTGCTCCAGTTCAAAAGTCACGTTCACAAAAGAAGCAGTTCCTTCTGGTTGCTCGATCTTTGGCTGCTGGCCCTCCTGATTGTGCTGCTCCTCAAAACGATGTTCTGCCTCCTCAGAGAGACGGTTCTCCTCCTCTTCTTCCTCCTCCTGTGGATGACACATTATTAGGGTCTCACAATGTGAATACTGTTCAAAATCTCTCAAAAGACTTTGTATGTCCTTAAGTAATTGTACATGCTGCTTTTGAGAATATCAGCTAATAAATGAAGGCTGTAGCGGTGTACATACCTCTTTCTTCATCCTGTAGTACTCATCAATTGCATACTGATATTTTGGCGTCGTGATTCCCAGCAGTGAGGCCACTTTCTCTCCAAGATAGTCACAAACTGAAATATTTGGGTTGAAATGTACATTATGGACTGTTTTTGTATGATTAAATGTCACAGGCTGGAAAGAGTTTCATTACCTGAGATGGATGAGGTAGCCACTCTCCACATATGGAACCAGACATATGGACCCCAGGTCAACTTTGACTATAATCAGAGATGCAAAGTGACTAAGATGTTCAGATTATTAAAAAGAAGCAACTGAAACTACACTTCTATTTAAAGGTACCATATTTTACACCTTTCTAGAGTTTTATTTTAGGTTTTGATGTCCTTAAGAATATATATTTGCGGTATAAGTACCTTTAAAAACCTTTCTCAGGAGCTCTCCTGAGAACAGGTCAATTTTGTCCTGTCTAATTAATATTCATCAGCTTCTCTTCTGATTGGTCTGTTGTTTTCTGAGTGACGCATGACCAGGCCAACCACAGGTAACTAGGGTCAGCCGACGTCACAGCGCTAGCTGGAGGCAGCAAAACAAAGGGGAAAGTGGAGGCGGCCCATTCAAACCAGCGCAGATTCGGCTACATAAGGAGCTTAAAATATCATCTTGTTGTGATATCATCGACGTAATACAGCCTCAAATTAGAAATTTTATCACATATCTGCTGCCACGGCCAGACAAAAAACTGGACAGAAATGATCGTCACAAATGTTTGCGTTTGCAGCGCACACTTCTTATCAGAAAAGGTTCAATAAAGTATTGTCTTTTGTTGTTATGGGCGC